AAAGCTCATGAGGTTCTCAAGTCACCATCCACTGACAAGGCAATTTATCTTATTTAGTGGACGTCTAGCACTCGACCAACAGGCGCTTCATGTCTTGCTCATGCTCACACACACTTGCACTTCCACCTTGAAGTGGCATAGGACAGGACATTTTTGAGCAACCTTCAAATTTTAACCAAGTCTGCTTGACCTTCTTTACTTTTATTTCCAGTGTTACTTTTCACACTTAATAATAATAATAATATATTGTATATGTATGGATGTATGTCTGTGTGTTTATTTTATTTATATATATATGTATATGTATATGTGTGTATATATACATTTCGCCGGTTACTTTCGCTTTTTCCGCGCAGCTCTCAGCGGGTGGGACTGTTAGCGTTATTAATAAAGGAACGTGAATGAATGAGACAAAATAGAGCGGGACATTCTTGATATTAAAAAGAGAGAGAACTCTGAAGATAATTAATCCCTCTCAGGTTGTAAATCAACCTCACAGTAAAAGCCCTGCACAGTGTTTGACGATTTGTTGCATATTTGTGTATTTTAGTGTACATGGTCCTAATAAAGTTACTATTATTAAAACGTTATTGAAAACACACACACAATTTTTATTCTTTTTATTTTTATTTATTTTTTTACTTTGATATCCATTTGAAAAACTATCGGTTAATTAATCGGTATCGGCCAGTGTGGTCCAACCTAGCTATCGGTATCGGCAAAATCCATTATCCGTCGACCTCTTATATGTATATGTATATGTATATATGTATATGTATATTCACACATATTTTCTTTTGACCGTTTTGTTGTGATTTTGAAATGCCTTGTAATATTTTGTTGTTCTTTTCCTTTTAATAAACATTTGATCACAAAAAAACAATAATAATAATAATTATTATTATTATTGTTATTATATTTTATTAGTATCATTAACAATTGATATTTAATTATAAATGATTATGATAATATTAATAGGAATAATAACAATAATGCTATTAGTAGCGGTATAAATAACAACAGTTGTTAATATTTAATAGTTTATTGATGATGATTATGATTATGATGATGATTGTTGTTGTTATTATTATTATAAAAATGTATCTATTGTTACATATAAATTATGATATAAATAGCAAAGCATGTAAATAATAATACTGTTTTGTTGTTGTTGTTGTTATGTTAGTATCATTATTAATAACAGTATTTAATCATTGATATTTAATGATAAATGATGATAATATTAATATTCAGTAATAACAATACTAATGTTATTAGTATCAATACTAAACAATAATAATTTTCTTATTAGTAGCAGTATTAATACAAATTGTTAATATTTAATAATTTAATTATGATGATGATGATGATGATGATGATGATGATTGTTGTTGTTCTTATAAAAAATTATCTATTATTAAATATTGATTATGATAATAAATAATTGCACATATATATACATCTAAATAATGATACTGTGTACTAATATTTTTTTTATTAATAATTATTAGTTATTGTGAAAGAGTCACAGTAAAAAAAAATTGCATGGGCAAGCACAACTTAATTATGCTTAATTTTGTAATTTGTCAAATTAACCTAATCAGACAGTGCAAACGCTCTACTCCACTGATAAATTTGTCAACCACTTAAATGACTTTTGCATGCTGTGGTCATCAGTTCTCATTTATATTATAAGATGAATGTTTTTGATATATATTGAAAATTGTCATCACTTTATTTGAAAATGTCTAGTAGAGCGGCTCTGTTTCTGTTTTGTTTACTCTGAGGCGTAGGGGTTTTATTACAGACATTGATCAAAGTGATGGCACGCTTTGAGTGATTGGCTCTCCCATAATCTCAGATTGTGCTCATGCTAATGGCATCATAATCTGGAATGATAGTCCACAGACTCAAATGTTTTTTTTTTTAAAGCTGCCTGAATGCAGCATTGAATGTGGTGGGCCTGCTGGCAGCATCCATCCAGACAACCTGTTAAGTGAATTCACATGGACGAGATAACAGCTCACCTTGTGTTTGAAGTAGCAAGGGCGAGCACACAGACTTCATCTAGGCCAGCGAGGCGCTGGGGAAAACGCTACTGAGCGACGCACGCTTCGAGGTGTTGACCTCACCTCATCCTTGATATGCATACAGAATGACAGACTTGGAGGAAAAGACGTCCTTGTTTAGAGCTGCACAGCGGGAATTATGATCAGTTGTGTGTTTAGATGATACTGACTCTTCAATATTACAATTGGGATGATCCATCATTTCTCTGATTTCCCATCATTTAATCCCAGTTGTATGATTATTATTGTTTTACTGCTGCACACTAGTGCAGTGCTTTTATTCCCTAGTAAATTTGGAGATGTCATTGGATTGCAGTTTGATTTCTCCCTCTCTGGTGTTTTGAAAGACTCTCACGCAGCGATCTGGCTTTGCTCAGGGGACCTTTGCTTTGTGGGCTCTCTGACTCACAGGATGAATTACAAGAGGGATGAGTAAATTCGGCTCCCTGACACAGATCTGCATTCAGATCTCTGCACCTCCTTCGCCAAAATAACCCTTCAAAGATGAAGAAGAGCTAAACTTTGCATATCATCGTATATCATCAATATTTGCTGAATTGGGACATATTGTAGAAAGCTGTTCATTTAAATATTAAAGACACAAAAGAGCAGTTGCAGAAACTGCCTGTCAGGAAGAGTCGAAAAGGATGCAAAACATACTTTTTGAGGCAGGAATCCTGGGCTGATATTTACAAGTTGATCTAAATATGTGGATTAGTGATGTGTTGTGATTGTATTTTATGTTGTTTTTTTTGTCATAAACTTGTGTTTTGATGACAAATGAAAACTTTTGGTTTATTATGACAGATTTGTGCTAATTTAAATATATGTTAATTATCTTGTTAACATTTCATCAAAGGTTTTATTGAAATGTGAATTATTTGTGAGACCCATACATATTGGTAAGAATTTTTTATATGCTAAACTTAAAATGTATATATTTTTAGACACAAATATGTTGTTATAGCTAGTCGTGATAATTTTAGCAGGCCAAGAATTTCACCATAGCGAGTAAAAGTCTGAAAAATGAAATATTTTTCGTCAAGCATTTTATTTCAATATTATTTAATATTGATTGTTATTTAATTAATTATTTTCTTTTTTGATGACAAATGAAAACTTTTGGTTTATTATGACAGATTTGTGCTAATTTAAATATATGTTAATTATCTTGTTAACATTTCATCAAAGGTTTTATTGAAATGTGAATTATTTGTGAGACCCATACATATTGGTAAGAATTTTTTATATGCTAAACTTAAAATGTATATATTTTTAGACACAAATATGTTGTTATAGCTAGTCGTGATAATTTTAGCAGGCCAAGAATTTCACCATAGTGAGTAAAAGTCTGAAAAATGAAATATTTTTCATCAAGCATTTTATTTCAATATTATTTAATACTGATTGTTATTTAATGTATTGAAAGAAGTCTCGTATGCTTAAAAAGTCTGCATTTATTTGATCAAACATACAGTATAAACAGTAATATTATGAAAGATTATATAAAAGTTTATATTTGAATAAATGTTAAAATGTAATTTATTCCTGTGATGCAAAGCTGAATTTTCTGCAGCTGTTACTCCAGTCTTCAGTGTCACATGATCCTTCAGAAATCATTCTAATATGCTGATTTGCTGCTTAAGAAATGTTTATTATTATTATCAATGTTGAAAAAAAGTTGTGCTGCTTAATATTTTT